CTAACTAACTACTACACTAACTAACTAAACGAACTAACTAACTAACTAACTAACTAACTAACTAACTAACTAACTAACTAACTACTAACTAACTAACTACTACTAACTACCTAACTAACTAACTAACTAACTAACTAACTACTAACTAACTAACTACTACTAACTAACTAACTAACTAACTAACTAACTAACTAACTAACTAACTACTACTAACTAACTAACTACTACTACTACTACTAACTAACTAACTACTACTAACTAACTACTAACTAACTAACTAACTAACAACTAACTAACTAACTAACTAACAACAAATAACTAACTACTAACTAACTACTAACTAACTAACTACTAACTAACTACTAACTAACTACTAACTAACTACTAACTAACTAACTAACTCAACTAACTAACTACTAACAACTAACTAACTAACTAACTAACTAACTAACTAACTAACTAACTAACTAACTAATTAACTACTAACTAACTAACTAACTAACTAACTAACTAACTAACTAACTAACTAACTAACTAACTAACTAACTAACTAACTACTAACTAACCAACTACAACTAACTAACTAATTGATGCTTTACTCTCTTAGTAGGAGTTTTTTGAGATTTTCTCTTTTAATATACAATTTTCAAATTTCTCTCTTATCACATAAATTTCAAAATTCTCTCTTTTTATTGAAAATCTTCGAAATCTGAATTTTTCCCGAAAATCATGTAAATGTTCACTCTTTATTGAATTTTTATAGAACAGTTTTTAGCAGTTACTCTTTTTTTAAAAAAAAATCTTAATGTTTCTTTAAATAAACATTTCTCCTATTGATCAAAAATTCTTAATAATTCCATTTTTATCGAAAATTTTCGAAATTCTCCCTTTCTAAAGAACGTTCTCTTTATAGATGTTTTACTCTATTAGTTGGAAATTTTTGAGATTTTCTCTTTTGATAGAAATTTCGAAATTTTGGCTTTTCATTAAAAACCATTGAAATTCTCCCTTTTTATAAAAAAACGCAAAATTTCTCCTTTTGAAATAAAAATGAAAATTCTCTTTGACAAATTTCTCGAAATTTATATAAAATTCATTTCTTTATAGAAAATTACAAAAATTTTCGTAGTAAATTTTTTTATTAAAAAATATTCTATTTAATAATTTTCTTTAAAAATTTTGTACAGCAATATTTTTTTTTGTCACCCACTGTTTATAGTAAAACGTATGGATGCATGGCCCCGTTCACTCAAATATAATGTTACGGGTTATTTGCTTTCTTTAACTTATGTATTGAATGTTCTCATATGTTGTTTCATATTTTTACATTTATTTCAATGTTTTTTTTTAAATTTTTATAACATTTTTATTTTTAAAACAAAAATATTTTATACACTTTATTAAACATGTTGTCATAGTAGTTGTTAATTTCCTTTCTTGCAATAAAATTAATTAGTTTTACTTTTAACAATACTATTACAAAATGATTTTTCTATTAGATCTACTAAAAAGCTAAGAAAACAATTTGGCAGGAATCGATCCTGCAAACCCCAGTCTAATAGACTAACTTAGTGATAAAACTTATCTGCTAAGGTATTCAAAAACAAATATGAATATTTTGTAATAAATATTATATTAACCAGTTTCTATGCATATAAAGCGTCAATAATATTAAAAATATTAAATTTTGTACGTTTTCCATATTTACACCCCCCAACCCTCCTCTAAAGTTGCTTTCAAACTCTATTTATATCCAGCTAATGCTGTTGTTCTATAAACTATTGTACACTTCAGTAACGTTCATTTCATTTTTTATTTTTTTTTTTATAGTAGAATGTATTTAAAAAAAAATAAGAATATATAAAATAAATTGTTATAGTATAATATTTTTACCTTTTACATAAATTTTTATATATTGTTTTTCTTTCATATTACAATACTGACGTTTTTTTTTTTTCACTTTTTGTTAAATTTTTTTTTGTTAAAACATCTGTAAAATTGTTTATATTATGTGTAAAATGTGTTACATTTAAAATTTGTATATTTGTATTGAAAGTAAATATGTTAGTGTGTATGTTCTTGTATTTTTATTAAATGTAATAAAAAAAAAGAAAGAACAAAAATTGTATTCAAATGTAGATTAATAATAATCATAAAAAATATATATATATTTTAATATTATTCAAGTGGTTATTTAAATATTTATGTGTACATGCTCAATAAATATATGTATTTATGTATGGATGCATTTTTAAATACATTAACAAAAAGAGCAACGTGAAAAAAAGGGGAGCTAAAAAATGGCCATAAACAAAGGGATAAATAAATATTAAAAAAAAAAACATACATAACAAAATGTAAAAAAGGTCATTTTACGCCCATTAGAGTTTCAAAGTGTTAAATGTTATTTAAAGTATTTAACATGTAATTTACATACAAAATTCAGGTTAAATAGAGGAGATTTCTAAAAACGGAAATTTTTCAAATATTTTCTAAAAACTCTAGATTTTTTTTTTAAAGATTTTCTATAAGTTAAGAGTGAATCTTTGGAATATTTTTTTTAAATGAAGAATTTTACAAAAATTTTCTATAAACAGACAACTTTTTGAGTTTTGTTAAAAATTTTGCAAGAATTTTCTTAAAAAGGAGAAATTGCTGTTAGTGCTTCCCCAAGCAATATGGTGGAAGTTGGCTCTTAGACTAATTCTATATTCATATATTTCCTCTACTTAGGTGAAACCGTAACTTTGAAAGTACAGATTGTCTTCGATTTTTTCAAAATGGGTCTCAAAAATTCCGTAATTTTGAGCTGGTTGCGGAAAAAATAATTTTAAAATTTTCTTAAAATATTTTTGGTCCACAAAATTAATTTTAGTGGGTTGGAGAGGCATATTATTTCCACTTTTTATTGAAATACGTGTCAAAATTGTCGTAATTTTTAGCTTATACTGACAAATATTTAAAAACTATTCTGGCATTTGGTTTGGTCCATTTCAGAATTTTTTAGATTATTTTCGCAATTTTTAAGAAAATCTGAAGTAGACTATATATGGCGGATAGACGTAATATTTTACCGATATTGCCCATTTTTTCTATAAAAATAAGTAAAGTAGCCAATTTAGTATTAAGTCGATTTAGTTATATCCACCTGTCTGTATGTATGTCTGTCTGTCTGTCCATCTATGTGTTCATAAAAAAATTTGATAACATTTAACATATACTCTTCTTTTGATCCAAAGACTGAAGTATATGGTTAAAATAGATCGCTTATATCACCTAGCCCCTAGCATACAACCTTACCCCCTCCTAATAGGGCCTTTGAGCTTATAATTATAGTTTTATATAAGTCTAAATGATACTGCCGATTTTCGTAATGATCGGGCCTCATATGATCATAGCCCGCATACAAAGTCCCCTTCATAGAATGGCTTGATAGTGAAAATGTATTTATAAACACCGTAGACATAATTCCCTCTATCAACATTTATAACGATAGGCTCATATGAAACCTGTCTCTTTCATGTCTATACTAGCATTTTAAGAGTTTAAGTATTTTTCTGACTGATCCTCATAAAATATGACAAAGACTCAATAAAATTTTTGAAAGGGACTTTGTGTCTGATCGTCATAAAATTTTATAAAACTATATCTAGTTGCATTTCATCGCTCTACTGGCATTTTAAGATATTTATAGATGTTAAAGTAATTTTTTTAAGGGAGCTTTTATATTAGGGATAAGGTCAATTATGGTCCAATCCTTATAAAATTTGACTAAGAGACATTACTTCCTTTAAAATTTTTTATGTTATGAGCGTTAAAGATATTTTCTGAAAGGGACCTTATATGGGCGTTTTTTGAGTGGGACTTTATATGGGAAAAGAAAGATTTTGGTTCATATAGAAGTTACATGCTTTTTTTAAGCCAATTATTAGCGTTAAAGTCATTTTCTGAAGAAGACCTTATATAGAGGGTTGGATCAATTGTGGACCGATCCCTTTAAAATTTGCCAAATAGATTCATAGTGGTGCTGTTAAGTCAGATATGAGGGGGACTTTATAAAGGGGTTAGGGTCAATTATAGACCAATCCTCTATAATAATACTATTTAACAGATTTAAGATCCTATAAAACCTTTTTATGCCGAATATCAACATTATTCTTGTTTTAGCCAGTTATGAGCCTTAAAATTCATTTTCTGAAGGGGACCATATGTGGCGGCTAGGCGAAATTGTGGACCGATATTGACCATTTTTAATACCAAACAAACTGCATCAACTAAAAATATCTGTTCCTATAGCTGCTTCCATTTGAACTCTATTGTGTTTTCAACAGACGGACAGACAAATTTTATAAAAAAATCTATAAATAAGTAAGGATGTATAGTTGGGCATGACAGACCATATGATACCCTAAACCAGATAGAATATTAAAAAAGTGGATTGTTTGTTTAATAACAAAGCATTTAGTTTGTTTTTTACCTTAATTAAGAAATATTGTAACAATTTGTTTAAAAAATCAAAAAGAGGTGTTATATGGGCCAAGGGTAATTATGGGACTATCCTTATAAATTTTGGTATAGGGATTTACATCTACATTAAAGTTATTTATGCAAAATTTGGATACGGTTGTATGGGGCGAAATAATGGACCATTTCCAATTATTTTCTATAGGCTTCGTCCTTGGGTCAAAAGAAGAGTATGTGCCAAAAGTTCATCAAATTATACTGAAAATTCCTATGGCGTGCATACAAGGTTTACATAGAGACACAGACGGACAGAATTTTCCACAAAAGAAAAATTTATCACAATTTTTAAATTCTAAACATATTTTTGTAATTTCAATTTCAATAATATAGAAACAAGATTATTAACCTAGTTGGTTCCGATTGAATAAGAATATATTAGAGGGAACTTTATGGTGTAAAATTTAAACCAATTCACACTTTAAAGTTAACTAATTAAAACAATACGTTCATATAACTAATAAAATTTTTTCACTTACCATCAAAACCATAGAAATGTAATTTCTTATTACGAAGCATTTCAAATTTCTGTGGCATGACAATGTCTTTCAATTGCAATTTTTGTAAATTGTCATCAACATCATTATTATAATCATCATCATCGTCATCACATTCATCATTTTGCCTTGCAACATTCTCTATATCATATTGATGAAATTCCAATTCTTTATTACAGCGTCCGGTAATGGCATTCGATTGCATGTGAGCTGCAAATAAAGATTTAAAAGAAATTCATTCATATATTTCATACAACAAAAGGGAATTTATTGATTTACAAATTTTCTCTATGATAAACTCTTTAACCGGATCCAGTGGTAATTCATCGTATTTATATTTTAAATTATAGAATGGACAGTCGACCAAAGGTCGTGGTTTTAGCTGAGCAGCCACTAAAGTTTTACGTTCAGTTTTACAAAGAGCTTCCTCAGCTGGACGATTAATGATTTTTTGACGTCTCTGCGGTTTGCAATATGGACGTTTTTCAGGTTGTGTCTTTATGACTTTCTTCATGCTGCTGCTGCTGCTAGTGATGATAATGGAGTTTTTTTTTGTTTTGTGTGGTTGTCTTTAAATATTTATTTCAATTCAAGTTGTTTAATATTTTTTATTTTATTATTTATATTTTTCTTTAAACGTTTTCAGTTAAAATTGACAGTTTGTATAAAACCATTTTGATCTATTTTTACAAAATTGAAATGTCAATCATTTGAGTTGAGTATGTTCAGTTTAGTTTAGTTTTAGTACTGTTCGCTTTTTAAGTTTTGTTTATTTGTTTTTTTATTATTATTATTTTAAAAAATAAATATTGTTAAGGCAACCAAACAAGCAGCTTTGTTGCATTGGCAACCATAATACGCATCAGCTTTATGTCTACGGTGGCAATAGCATTTCTACTTGCTGGTGCTGCCATATACATAGTTATAGCAAGACATCATAAGCCGTTGCAATAACAGCTGCAATTGCACTTAGTGTTATTATTATTTTTGTTTTTATCCACCACTAATATTGTGGCATATTAAAGTTTGTGTTTTTCTTTTTGATCGGGAAGACATGTGCGAGGAATTTAAAATTTAGTAAATTTTTCTATAAAAAGAGGAAATTTTCAATTAAAAAAGAAATTATCAGAATATTTTATAAAAAAATTTCTGCCAAAACGGAAATTTTCAGAAAATTTTTTATAAAAAGAGAAATTTTAAAACAATTTATTAAAATAAAAAAATTTACAAAAATTTTCTATAAAAAGAGACTTTTTCCGAAAACTTTATTAAAAAAGACACTTCTACACAAATTTCGGAAAATTTACGAAAATTTCTTATAAAAATGGAAAATTTCCTTTAAAAAGATAAATTTTTCAAAAATTTCCTTTAAAAAGATACATTTTACAAAAATTTCCTATGAAAATAGAGATTTTCAAAAATTTTTTATAAAATATTGAAGATTTCTATTAAAAATAGAAATTTTCCGAAAATTTTCTATTAAAAATAGAAATTTTCCGAAAATTTTCTATTAAAATAGAAATTTTCCGAAAATTTTCTATTAAAAATAGAAATTTTCCGAAAATTTTCTATTAAAAATAGAAATTTTCCGAAAATTTTCTATTAAAAATAGAAATTTTCCGAAAATTTTCTATTAAAAATAGAAATTTTCCGAAAATTTTCTATTAAAAATAGAAATTTTCCGAAAATTTTCTATTAAAAATAAAAGATTTATTTATTTTATTTAATTTTCGGAAATTTTCTATTAAAAATAGAAATTTTCCGAAAATTTTCTATTAAAAATAGAAATTTTCCGAAAATTTTCTATTAAAAATAGAATTTTCTATTAAAAATAGAAATTTTCCGAAAATTTTCTATTAAAAATAGAAATTTTCCGAAAATTTTCTATTAAAAATAGAAATTTTCCGAAAATTTCTATTAAAAATAGAAATTTTCCGAAAATTTTCTATTAAAAATAGAAATTTTCCGAAAATTTTCTATTAAAAATAGAAATTTTCCGAAAATTTTCTATTAAAAATAGAAATTTTCCGAAAATTTTCTATTAAAAATAGAAATTTTCCGAAAATTTTCTATTAAAAATAGAAATTTTCCGAAAATTTTCTATTAAAAATAGAAATTTTCCGAAAATTTTCTATTAAAAATAGAAATTTTCCGAAAATTTTCTATTAAAAATAGAAATTTTCCGAAAATTTTCTATTAAAAATAGAAATTTTCCGAAAATTTTCTATTAAAATAGAAATTTTCCGAAAATTTTCTATTAAAATTAGAAATTTTCCGAAAATTTTCTATTAAAATTAGAAATTTTCCGAAAATTTTCTATTAAAAATAGAAATTTTCCGAAAATTTTCTATTAAAAATAGAAATTTTCCGAAAATTTTCTATTAAAAATAGAAATTTTCCGAAAATTTTCTATTAAAAATAGAAATTTTCCGAAAATTTTCTATTAAAAATAGAAATTTTCCGAAAATTTTTTATTAAAAATAGAAATTTTCCGAAAATTTTCTATTAAAAATAGAAATTTTCCGAAAATTTTCTATTAAAAATAGAAATTTTCCGAAAATTTTCTATTGAAAATAGAAATTTTCCGAAAATTTTCTATTGAAAATAGAAATTTTCCGAAAATTTTCTATTAAAAATAGAAATTTTCCGAAAATTTTCTATTAAAAATAGAAATTTTCCGAAAATTTTCTATTAAAAATAGAAATTTTCCGAAAATTTTCTATTAAAAATAGAAATTTTCCGAAAATTTTCTATTGAAAAGAGAAATTTTCCGAAAATTTTCTATTGAAAAGAAAAATTTTCCGAAAATTTTCTAATGAGAATAGAAATTTTCCGAAAATTTTCTAATGAGAATAGAAATTTTCCGAAAATTTTCTATTGAGAATAGAAATTTTCCGAAAATTTTCTATTAAAAATAGAAATTTTCCGAAAACTTTCTATTAAAAATATTTTCCGAAAATTTTCTATTGAGAATAGAAATTTTCCGAAAATTTTCTATTGAGAATTGAAGTTTTCCGAAAATTTTCTATTGAGAATAGAAATTTTCCGAAAATAAGTTTCAAATTCTCCATTAATTTCATTTGAACCTTAAATTTTCTGAATAAATATTCATTTCAACAAAACTTTTAAAACATTTGACAAAAATGACTAATGACCGCTGCTAATGGACCCCGTTCGTGTACGAATTTCCAATTTGCTAAACAGTGAAAAAAATTAATCAGCATTTTAACAATTAATTCTTATGATTAATATTTTCTAGTAGCTCAAAAAAAAGGAAGAAAACCATTTCGCTTGTATTTGAGAAATGATTTTGAAATGCAGGATTTGTCTCTCCCTTTTGTAAGTCTCATGAAAAGCACGTGACCGGTATTTACGAACGTTTGCATGCAACATGATCTTTAAATAAATAAATTATAGAAGCGGTCTTAAAGTTTTCTCTTTCCAATAATTTTTAAGGTCAGAGTTGACTTGTAGTATTGTACATATTTTGTTGCTGGCTTTTGATGCAGTAGAAAGTCATTACATGCAACAGTTTTGTTATGTATTTTCAATTTTCCAAACATTGGCAATGGACGACATACTATTGACGTGTACATATTATGAACTTGAGTATGTGCGTCTCGTTGTGCGCGTGTGTACTTGTATTTTTTGTGTTTTCCTTTTTGTTTCCGAAAAATAACTGCCAATGTGATTTACACTTTGAAACTAAAATAAATGCCACTAAAGAAGGAACACACAAGTGTTTTTATTCTTTATTTTCGTAAAGCACTTAAATGAGTGTGAGCCAGAGTAATAGCGACGGACTGCACACTTTTGAAGTCTTGGTAAATAAAAACTAGTAGGGCCCAATTTACACAGGGCAAGTTATATTTTTGCTTTTTTTCTTTCTCTTAAAACATGGCCATCACCCTTCTGTTCCGCTTATTAAACCACGTTAGACTTGGGCAAAGGAAACCTGCCTCGTGTAAACGTAGAGTAAAGTCATCGTATAATTAGAAATGGTTTGGAGATGACATATAGTAGAACAGAGTTAGAGTAGAGTTAGAGTAGAGTTAGAGTAGAGTTAGAGTAGAGTTAGAATAGAGTTAGAGTAGAGTTAGAGTAGAGTTAGAGTAGAGTTAGAGTAGAGTTAGAGTAGAGTTAGAGTAGAGTTAGAGTAGAGTTAGAGTAGAGTTAGAGTAGAGTTAGAGTAGAGTTAGAGTAGAGTTAGAGTAGAGTTACAGTAGAGTTAGAGTAGAGTAGAGTTAGAGAAGAGTTAGAGTAGAGTTAGAGTAATGTTACAGTTGAGTTAGAGTAGAGTTAGAGTAGAGTTAGAGTAGAATTAGAGTAGAGTTAGAGTAGAGTTAGAGTAGAGTTAGAGTAGAGTTAGAGTAGAGTTAGAGTAGAGTTAGAGTAGAGTTAGAGTAGAGTTAGAGTAGAGTTAGAGTAGAGTAGAGTAGAGTTAGAGTAGAGTTAGAGTAGAGTTAGAGTAGAGTTAGAGTAGAGTTAGAGTAGAGTTAGAGTAGAGTTAGAGTAGAGTAGAGTAGAGTGGAGTTAGAGTGAAATTAAAGTAGAGTTGTGTGAGTGAAATAAACTTCGCCTGCAGTTACCAATCTATCACCGCAGAGTAGTTCCCACACTAAGCTGTATGTATGTATATGGAACTGTTGTCTGCATTTTCAACTTCCTACTCTTAGTTGTTAATATAAGGCACGTAGAAAATTGCTTACACCCTGTGAAAACAGTGCAAATTAAAGGTACGTGTTAGTGTGTTTGTCTATCTGCATATAAAATGCATACACATTCAAACACACTCATACATACGTGCATGTATATGAGCGAATGTCTGGGAAAGTGTTATGGTCGTAAAATTCAGGATTGCACAGTTAACAACCGTGGATTTTTTAGAACTATTTCATACACATACAGATACAGTAACATACACCAAGGAAAAAGTGAAAAGAAGGAGAAAAAAGACAAAATAACTAAAAAAAGAAGAAGCTGTTAAAAAAAAGAAACGTAAATTTATAAAACGTTTGGCTGATGCAACAAGCTTTGCTGCTGTCAATTGAAAACGTGCCAACAATTTGCTACGGCGATTAATCGTACTTTGCACCCGTAGCAAGTGAATGAACATGCAACACAACGAAACAAAAAAAAAATAATGGTAAGAAAAGATATCCTGGAAAATATTGCATGTATGTAAGCGTATTTAAATACATGAATTTCTTATATACATATGTATGTACATTTTTTCACAACTACAAGGTCTCAAAACGCATTTACCATTTATTTCGGTATTCACAAGTTGCAGTTGTTGTGCCATTGTTGCTTTAGTGTTGTAAATCTTCTTGTTGCCATAGTTGGATTTGTGTTGCAGTTTCTTGTTGTAAGTATGCAAAATGGTATCTTACACTTACGCTCGTTACAATATATTTAAAGTTATTTCGCTGGTGTAAAATCGTTATTTTTGTTTGGCGTTGGTGTTTTTTTCCTTAAATATTTGCCATCTCTTAATTTGTCGAATTTTATTATTATTTATGTATGTTCTTCTTTTTTTGCAGTTGCCACACAGTGTGGCAGTGTTGTGACAAACAGTTGTTGTCGTTAAAAATTTGT